GGTCAGTACTGGAAGAATAGTCATTTTATACGCCATTGTTTTAGCTTCCGGGGTGGCATCGTGAAGTTTTCGTCGTAACAACCAAAGTTTACGCATGGCTTTATTGCAAACACTGTCAACATGCATGGACCAGTTCAAGTCATGTGTAAGATGAACACCTAGATTCTTAACATTCTGTACTTCAGTCAGCACTGTGCCTTTAATGCTGTAAGAAAAGGATAACGAGTCTTTTTTACGTGTCATGCGCATGAAGAGAGTTTTTGATGCATTCAGTTCCATTTGCCATTCGTCGCACCAAAGACTAATTTTTTGTAAATGGTTATCAAGCTCCAGCTGATTGTCAGTGGAGCTTATCTTCGCATACACAATGATGTCATCTGCACAATGTTTTATAGCTATTTGCCGAGAAAAATCGGCACCCATGTCACCGATATAGATACAGAAAAGTAAAGGGCCTATTACGGACCCTTGCGGCACACCTGATCTGACTGGCTTATTGGTGCTGGAGACATTATTCAATTCAACAAATTGTTGTCTATTTGACAAATATGCCTCTATCCATTTTAATAGCTGACTGTCACCAGTTAAACAAGACAACTTTTTAAGCAACTTTCTGCGAGATATTTTATGAAATGCTTTTCGGAAATCAATAAGTATAATGTCTACTTGACCTTTTCCATCTAAACACTGACCAATTTCATGTGTAACCTCAGTAAGAATTGAAATTGTGAAATACCCTTTGCGAAACCCGTGCTGATTATTACCTAAAATACCGTTTTCTTCTACAAACTTCATTAGGTGAGTAGTCAAAATGTGCTCCAGTGTTTTACAACAAGTACTTGTCAAGGAAATCGGTCTAAAGTTCGTGATTGTCATATTTGGAACCCTGTTCATGGATCGGTATTACCTTGGCACGCCTCCAATCTATCGGAACGTCACCGGATTGAAGGGATTTTGTGAAAATGTCCAACAGATAAAATGAACACCACTAGGCATAACGCCTTAAAAAGGCGTTGGGAATTTGATCAGGTCCAGGGCATTTTTTCACATCTACTTTAAGTAAGAGACCCAGAATGCCTTCTTGTGTTATAGTTAGCTCAGGTAGACATTGCTCATTAGAAATTCACCCTTGAAGGAGTTGAACCATCGTCCCCTAATGAAAACCGATTCAAAATATTCATTAAATTGGCAAGCCATCTTATAATTATCCATGATAGTTACATTATCGTTCTTCAAAAATTGGATGCCAAGTTCTGGTCCTGAAAGGTACCTCGAAAATTTTCCCGGTGATGTTTTGATGAAATCGGTAAGAGTTTCATTAATGTACCTGTGTTCCGCTTGAATAATTTCCATTTTGACTTCTTGAGAAAGGGAACTGACATAATGACGTGTTTTCTGTTGACAATGGTTTTTTAGCCCTCGTTCTTTTCAAGAGTCATTTTTTCTGAATTATTTTTCGCGTAATCCATGGGTTTCTTCTGTTAACTTTCTTGGTGAGTCTTTGAACAAATAGTTCTATTGCTTTCAAAACAATGCATTTAAACATGTTCCATGCATCATTTACTGATGTAGTATTCAAAGAGATATATTGAGTGAAATTATCATATCCCTGCTCCAAATGATCTATTGCTCCAGTATCATCTGCTTTAGAAAAATCGAGAACTGTCGTAGTTTTATTCTTTTTTACCCGAGTGCGCGTGGTATCGATATGCGTGATCACCATTTTGCGATCAGGATATCCCTTCCGATACTTCACATTGATATGTGGATTGCACGGCAGATCTGCTCAAGAAGACCAAGGCGAGCAGCGATTCTCCCGATTCGTGGATTCGCGTAGGTGTAGTTACAATTTGTGTTAGGTCAAGGGAGAAAGCCAGATCCAAAAGAACTCGAGACACAGCTTGTTCATTTTGACCTTCGTGATAATTCACCCAATCGATATTTGGTAAATTGAAGTCTCCAGCCAGTATGATCTTATGATTAGAATGGCTAAACTTATCAGTTAAGAAATTATTAAGAAGTATATATTCTTCAGGGGTGCCAGGTGGGCGATACACTGCGATGACTACAAAATACTGCGCATTCATTTTTATCGTGCACGCAACGCATTCCTAATTCCGGTGGGGTGAAAATTTCAGTGCAATGAATTGAAGTTTTGTGAATAATGGCAACACCTACTCCCATGGAGGAGGTGTTGCCATTACACCCTCTAGCTCCTCGAACAGTACAGTTGGACTTCCCTCACTAGATAAGGTTCTAGCAGTAAACATTGCCAAGTTCAGGTTGCAATGACGGCCTGTCCGGATCCAGAAATTCTTAGCCCCCTCTGCTGCGTTGCAGATCTGACCGCTGCCGTGGTCAGTTGCTTCGCAGCTGCTGGGGACTGAGGGCCGCGAGTTATTAGACGTATGCATGTGGGAGGTAGTGGCCCGATACTGCACCAGGGCGGCCAATCCTTCTCTGGTGAGGGAGTGCGTTCCCGGTGGTGGTTACCGGTGAGGCCGCACCCTGGCCTCGCAATGCAGTTCCATCACCACGCGGATTTTTTTAAATCCAGTTGGGAACTGCGCCGCACGGGGATTTGAACCACGGACCTTTTGCATGCGAGGCGGATGCTCTAACCACTACGCCATCGCTTCCTCTCGCATCTATTATGCACCTAATACTAAGTTGTTTTGCTCACTCACCATCACCACTCACCCCTGGCTGCTTGCCATTTCATTTCACATGAGAAGTTCACTAAAGCCACAAGCTCAAAATAACCACGATTGCCAAGCTCTCATAATGGCTGAAATCATCCTAAAAAACATTTTCTGCACTCATACTTTTAAAATTCACTCATATGGGTTTTCACTCATACTTTTAATATTACCTTTTCTGAAGATCCATTTTTGGGTAACTTCTTGAATATAGACATGTTTTTGGTACTTTTATTAGCCCGATCGAGATGAACTATTGCTCATATATTGCTTAATGTGTGAATTTTCTTTAAAACTTGATATTACCTGTATAATTATTACGAACCTAAGTAAGGAATTAGTATGGGCTGAAGATCCCAAGAATTCTCATATTTTTTTCTTGCCCATTGAAATGTCTTATACACACTTTCTTAATAGTTATTTGCATTCTACAGTTAATGTAGAGCAATGTGAGCCATTAACAGCTCAGAACCAAAAAATAATTGTAGAAAAAGTTTTTTCAATAGGAGCTACACTTTACACATTGTAAAGGCATAAAACTATAGCTGTACAACTTACTATAAAACTAATTTCATATTTGTAATCAGCATCAAAGCCACAGAGGAAGAAATATTTATTCCTCTGTGATAAAAGCCTATATATATATATATATACAGCAAAAATTTTATTGCCCTTAACTACAGATTAACACAACTTTTTCTTTTTTTTTTTTTTTAGACTTGCGTCTCCTCGTAAGCACTCCCATACATAAAGGAATCATTTTTTATTCATAGCACTCCTTGGTCAAGTGTGGCCTTTGCACCATTACATCCACATATAAATGTTGCCACTAGTACAAGTTCTACAAGTATTGTCTCCATAGACGCTGGCAGGCTTGTATGTGCCGCTGTTCAAAAGAGGACGAAGTTGCCCTTGCGGAGAGATAAAGTTGTATTGCTGTTGATCGAATCAGTCACCGTGTAACGTGACAATATTGTTATTTTGGGCAGTCGCGATGATATACTGCGGAATTTGAGGTCCAGGACTAGGATTTAGTGCAAGAAAGTGCGAATTTTTATGACAAATAACATCGATACCAAAAAAAGGGGATGTTATGACCGATTTACACTATCGTAAGTCGACTTAAATGTACGTCAGCTCCCTTAAAATCGCACTGGCAAAGAAATATGAAAGAAAATTTATTTACGATGGCTATGAAGGAAAGAAAATCCAGTGTGCCAAGGTGGCTTCACGGAAGTTCTTGAAAGCTATGCAGAAAAGCTAGCTTTACGAAAATGCATGAAAATCGGTTGTTTTTGTTTTTTTTTTGACAGCCAAAACAAGCTTTCTATTTCAGATTATGACTAAATGGGGCATAAATACGTATGAGACTGTTGGAGAACAATGCCTATTAAACTCAAAATTTCGATCGAGTTATGTCAAGTGACTGTCTTGATGCTTTTTCTTGAAAGGCGACAAAAAAATCGCATCTTGGCACATGCTCAGCGCAAATTATCAACTTTTTTTCCTGAAATGTAGCACTGATGTGGTAGGTTCGACCTCTTGGAACAGTTATGGCATCACTGAGCTTAAGGTAATCATTGCGAGTGGAACATACCGCGTGGTGCTGTAGGAGATCGCCACCCCAGGAAAAGTTCTGAAGCACTACATGTATTACTGATGTGAAATGTGATACTCCTGTCACACGGGCACGTGAAATATTTTCGAGCAAAAAGACATCTGAAAAAAGAAAGTTTCATCCATAGACACAAGACAGCGGTTGCTCTCTTTTTCCTGGAAGTTGTCTTTTCTAGAAACGGCGTTCAAATCTTGTTCACGGCCAAACTGTAAGCAGTAATCTCTTTCACAGTCGTAAAAAAAAAAATTAGCCCCGAAACCAGTGAGTGCCAGCAATTATAACCACTGAAAAAAAAAATTGCAAATGTTAGTTCATCACACAGAAGGCCTATTAACATAAAGCCCATTAAACAGTTTCCTAGGACACTACCGTAAGCAAGTCTATAGGCTCGGAGAATACATGGAGAGGCTTAGCGCATCGCACGCAAGGATGCAACAAGCACTGCACCGTAACGATTGTAGCCAACTCTGGCGAGTGAACAGGCCTTGAATGCACACAAAGCGCAACTGCTGCAGTGATCTGCGAGGGACAATTGTATTTTATATATCAAGATAGGAAACTTGCTTTTCACTGGTATTATTTTGAAAGCTAGCACCACGCTTTCGACTGTGCGTTTGAAGGAGAACACCAAGAAGAGATGCTCAGTGTGATGTGTGCGAGGCAACGCCTCTTCATTAAAAGTCTTACATCTTCTCGCAGAGGGTCTTGATTGCCTTGCACAGCTCGTTAAGCGACTTGTCTCTGGTCGTTACCTTCACCACCTGCACAGACGGGAAAGCCATTAATTAGAACTGTGCAGACATTTAAAATTCATTTATATTTATTACACAAGGCATAATAGACAAAACTGGTTGAGCTAGGATAGCAACCTGCGCATAACACAGGCAACAATGTACCAACACCTACCCAACAGCAATGCACCTGATAATGCATAAAGCATTTTTAAGAGGCAATCTCAAATTCTCAATCATCAAAAGTCAAGAAAACAAACTAATTCAGCTCAATTTAATAAGAAACACCTTGAGCTATATATTACATAAAGAGTGGTTGCATGGAATACAAATACACGAGTACTATTTTATATATTACAATAAATTTATTGTTATAAAGTGTTAGTACACTAATGTAATCATTATGCACTATTTGTTTATTGATGTCTAGTATGCATGTATACTGTGTCTAAATACAACATTTGTTAATGTCTATTATATCTGTACATCTTCATTTTCTTGATGTATAACCTCGTAAATGCCGTACTTATTTTACATAAGAGCACAGTGAATGCCAAAATTTTCACCATCCTTACACTTCTCTCATAATGAGACAGTGGCCCAACATCCCCACATTTCGATTAGCCGAAAACATGCACTGCACCCCGGCCTAATCAATGCTGCCAACACCCCTCACACCTGAGGACACTTTCTTTCACCAATAAATAAATGTTTGCTTTAGGGTGCAGCAAGTGCCAAAGACCACTTTACTGGATAAACTTTGCTCACCTGGCCATTGTTCACGTGGACGTGAATGGGCACGCCTGAAGTTTTTGCTTCGACTGGACTGCCCGAGAGAGACAGCAGTGTTTCACCCCGTCGCACCGGTCGTGCTGAAGCTGGCCGCTTGCTGTAAATGCAGGCAGGTGAAATTCCATTACTACTGCAGCGTAGAAGGACAAAATCTAAATGGCACTGAACCAAGCTTCATGACAGGACAACGTGTCGCTTGCACAACCCCTGGTGTAATGTAAACACACCAGTGTGGTAAAGTTTTCTGTACACGCCACTAAGTGAAGCTAGGCCTCCTCAATTGGCTTGAATAACTTGACATTCATGCCTCTTTGCAGCATGTTGGTGATAGCTAACAAATAAGAATTCTTGATGAACCAAAGCTGTACACTTGACTATCTTTTGAATAATCATGAAATCTTCACATTTTCGCCACTTGACAGTGTAAGGCGGGACTGATGAAAAGCCATGTTATCGTAGAATGAACTCTGATCAGCTTAACAAATTTTATCATGCGCTGGAAACTACAAACTGGGACTTAGTTTATGCAGAAAAAGACCCCGATAAAGCATACCATCTTTTTTATGAAGCACTTATGAGTTATCTATGACGGAAATTTCCCACTTGTTCTATTCCGTAGGAAGATAGTTCGCAAGCCTTGGATTAGTGGGTGTTTGTACAAAAGAATAACAAAAACAGAATATACCACGCATTTGTACAGACATGTGACGTGGCTCTACTTAGCGAATTTAAAAAATGCCGTAATAAGTTAAATGCCGACTTGAAGAAAGCTAGGACCTGCTACTATCAAACCCTTTCTAGTATACTCAATGAACCTAGAAAGCTGTGGAACGAAGTAAACAATTTATCTAACAACTCGAAAGTGAAACTTTTAGCATTACAGCTTTTGGTTATGGTAAAACTGAATTGGAAGCACTCTCCGAAATCAATGAATACTTTACTAATGTGGGTGCACTACAATCAAATCTCGGTTCTGAGGCCCATCATGTCATACATAAACGCGCAAGCTTGCTGCACTCAATTAGTTTTTTTTAAGTCAACAAAAGGTGGAAAAATTAGTCGGTAAAATTAAAACCAATGTTTATAGAGGAATTGATGATATATGTGCCTTATCCATTAAATATGTATCGGATCTTATATCATTACCATTAACACATTAATAGAATGCTTGAAGCCGGCATCTTCCCCTCAGATCTAAAGTTTGCTCGCATATGCCCAATATATAGGGTGGCACTGTTAATGATATATGTAAATACAGGCCAATTTCTGTGCTACCCATGTTATCCTAAGGTATTTGAAAATGTAATAAGCTTGCATCTCGTCAATTTCATAAATAAGCACCACATGGATGACACACAGTATGGCTTCCAGAAAAATAAAACCACTGAGCTAGCTTTATTACACGTCAAGAGAATATTGCATGACTGAAAACACTTTACAAAGCAGGTCTTTTCATTGATCTAAGGAAAGCATTTGATTGCGTTAATCACAACATTTTGCTATCGAAACTCAATGATTAAAAGATTTTAGGTGACACCGCAAATGCTATAAAGAGTTGCCTTTCTTGTAGAAAACAGTATCAAAATTGATAATTTTTACCTCTCCTACTACCACCATAAAACAAGGAGTGCCCCAGGGGTCGATCCTCGGACCCTTGTTATTTATATAGTTTGTTAACGACCTATTTGACATTCTGAATTCCCTAAATTTAGTAATGAACGATGACGACACCAACATCTTTTTTCCGCGCTCACACTTATTCAGCTTGAAAAATTGATAAACGATTATTTCATTCAGCTGGATGGATGGCTTCATGCAAATAAACTAGCACTAAATATACAGAAATCTGAATATGGCTTCTTTAGGGCCTCCTATAAACCATGCGAAATCCAGATTACGCTAACGTTTGAGGAGACTGTTTTAAAGCGCGTAAAATGTCAGAATTTTTAGCCGTGCGGTTTGAAAAAAGCATGTGCTGGAATACACACATCAATAAACTCACTTCAGAAATAAACAAAGCTGTCGGTGTTATATTCAAACTTTTAGATTTAATTACTTTACACCTAAAAAAAGCGATATATTATGCGCACTTCTACTCCCGGTAGAAGTGCGCGTAATATGGCACACTTGTCTGGAGTACCACAATAACTTCTAATTACAAAAAACTGGAAACAATGCAAAAGAAAGTGCTTAGTCTATTTTAGAATTATTCTGGCGAGCCAAAAGACTTACCAACAAATCCCTTATTTATTAAGCATAATTCGCTTAAAGCAAGCAATTTGTATGCTAACGTGGTTGCTTGGGCGAGTTGGTATGACATGATTCACATAAAAAACAGCGCCAATAACGAGAGACTAGAAAAAGAAGGAGACAGACAGCGGCACTGAACTTACAACAAGACTTATTTGCCAGAACCGCACAATATATACTTGGTCAGTATCTAACAAAAAAGAAAATACAAAACAAACAAAACAGAATCCATCTAACAACCACATAGTCATCTTCACAACGCACCATGAGCAGCACGTGTGCCAACGTGCCGAAGGAAATCTTTTTCTTTTAATGATAGCGCAATCGAAGGCCTGCTGACACATGCACTGCCCAGCCTTTCTATTTCTGAAGCCTCATAAATTTCACGAATCAACTGGTCCCGATGCCGCCTAATGACGGTACAAAGCTGAAAATCAGGGACACAGCCGCAGTCTCGGCAATGAATGCCGAGATGGCCCGAAACTGTAGAGGAGACGTTGTGAGCGTGCTCTTTCAGCCGCTCATTTAAACACCTGCCTGTTTGGCCGATGTACCACTTGCCGCAAGACAGCAGGCCTTCGATTGCGCTATCATTAAAAGAAATAGATTTCCTTCGGCACGTTAGCACACGTGCTGCTCATGGTGCGTTGTGAAGATGACTATGTGGTTGTTAGATGGATTCTGTTTTGTTTGTTTTGTATTTTCTTTTTTGTTAGATACTGACCAAGTATATATTGTGCGGTTCTGGCAAATAAATCTGGTTGTAAGTTCAGTGCCGCTGTCTGTCTCCTTTTTCTAGTCTCTCGTTATTGGCGCTGTTTTTTATGTGAATCAATTTGTATGACTGAACTCCTCATGCACATACATAAACATAATCTGCTAGACATCCCACATGAAACATCGCAGCGTTATCTTCTATGCAATAAGCAGACACCAATACCACGAACACGTACAAATTATGGAAGATCAGTCCTCACTTATCAGATACCAACCCTATTACTTGTGTGTCTTTACACATAAACTGATGTTCCACTTTATCAATTTAAAAAACAAATAATGCTGAGCACACAGTCATTCTAAGCTCATGGATGTCTTCATACCATTTTTCTTGCATTATCCAACATTATGATACGTTTCAAATGTGCTTATTTATTTCCTGCATGTACCTATCTTAGTCACTTTTCTTTATAATGGTGTGTTAAACATTAATGTGCATTTTTCTGTAACATCCATTTCATGGTCTCAGTGCCTTATATTGTATTTTTTTATTAGTTTCTTTCGTATCTTTGTTTATATAAAAAATTGTACAAGTTATACAGGTTTTTTTTCCTCCGTGAATATCCATTTACTGCTGCCTGCACAGTTCCCCAGGTCTCCTCAAGCTGTTTTTAACAGCTTTTTTGTCTGGGGAACCACCAAATGTGTGGTGAAAATAAATAAATAAACTAATGCAGTGAATTGAGCAAGTTGGTATGCAGTCAAGCCCGACTATATCGAACCCGTTTATATCAAATATCCCGTATATCGAACAATTCCTAAACAGGATAAGTTGACATTGAGAATATATAGCAAAAGTTACTGTTTTATCGAACGAAAATAGCAACGACAACTGATATATCAAACTCCATGTGCCTCAAAAGTGCCACAGCAAGTTGGCTTTCCCTCGCGGTGGCGGGAAAAACTGCCGGCGCTACCCTAGAAAAAGTTGGTTAGACCCGGTTGTGCGCGGGCGAACATCCCCCTCCAAGAAATGATCCTGGCTCGCTCGCAGCGCTTACAGCCAATCAGAGGCAGTCGTGCTTTCTCTGAGGCGCGGAGAGAAGTGAGCGCCAATTTTTTTATGCTTGTGTGCCTGCTGCTGCGGATTCAGCGTGGTCTTTGGTGTTGCCTGTTGGTGCTCTGTGAACTGTATTGGCACGCTGTCATCATGGCTTGAGCAAAGAGGCAAAATTTGCCGTTCGCCGGGAAACTCGAAATCATCAATCGGGTTGAGCGTGGTGAAAAGACCAACGTCACCTATTCAAAATTTCAAGGAGCACCTTGAGTACTATCCTGAAAAACAAGGCAGACATCAGGGCCATGTCGGACAAAAGGCCAGGTGCCCGTGGCGCCCGACGTGTGCGCGCTACTGTGTACGAAGATGTTGAAGCGGCCGTTTAGAAGTGGTTTGTGGACGTTCGTTCGCGAAACATCCCGATGTCCGGCCCTATGATCGAGCAGAAAGCCGAGGACCTTGCTTTTTTACTTGGCAGGGATGATTTCCACAGCGGTTCAGGCTGGCTTCAGTGGTTCAAAGAACGGCGCGACATCGTTGGCAAAGCTGTTACAGGTGAAGGCAGAGCGGCGGACCTGGACAGTGTAGAAAAATGGCTGGAAGAAAACTGGCGAGATATCGCAGCAAGATATAGAGCCCAAGACATCTTCAATGCGGATGAAACCGCTCTATTTTGGCAAATGTTGCCAAACAAGATACTTGCGTGTCGTGGCGACTAGACAAGCGGCGCCAAGGCAAACAAAGCTCGTGTGTCCGTGCTGTTGGCAGCTACTTTAGACGAATCGAAAAAGCTTCGACCTCTAATTATCAGGAAAAGCATGGCACCACTGTGTTTTTGAAATGCGCTATCGCTTCCAGTTACCTACCGAGCAAACTAAAGCGTGGATGACCGGGGAGCTTTTCAGCAGATGGCTATCGTCGTGGAATGATGATTTGGTAGGCGAAAATCGCAAGGTGTGCCTGCTCGTGGACAATTGTTCATCGCACCACTGCAGTACGACCTTCAGCAACATCAAGCTACGTTTTTTGCCCCCGAACACTACGTCTGTACTGCAACCACTGGATCAAGGCGTTATACGCACAATGAAAGTCTGCTATCGGAAGCGCCTGGTGGAGAGGCTGCTGCAGAACCTTCGTGTCGGCAGGGAGCTTAAGATAGACTTGCTCGGAGCTATTTCTATGTTGAGTAGATCGTGGGCAGATGTCAAGGAAGAAGACGATCCAGAACTGCTTTAGGCATGCCGGCTTCCGCATGCCTGGTGATGACACCCAATATACTGACAGCACTGAAGACACCGCAGGTGTTTCCGCCGAAGTTTGGAACGAGCAGGCAGAGTTCCCGGGTGCTGTCGACGGATCGACATTCGACGAGTTCGTCAGTGCGGACGATGATGTCTTCATGAGCCAGTTACAGGATGAGGATTACATTGCAGATGTGCCGACCACGAGCCAAAGCGACAGCAATATGGAAATCGACAACGGCCCATTGCCTACATCCTCCGAAGTGATTAGTTCACTTGCATTGGTCCTGTGCTATTGCTTGAATGTGGAAGGTTGCGGCCTCAGCTGCTCCAACTTGGACAACGTGGAGGCGTGCGTGCTGTCGCAGACAGCGAAGTCGTTGACACAGAAAAAAAAATCCAGGACTATTTTCTTGCACAGTAGGGCACGCAAGGAAGCCACCATATTAATAAAGTACTCTTCTTCTAGTTTGTTATGTGCCTTTGTGTTAAAACCTATACCGGGCCTATATCGAATTATGCCATATATCGAAATAACGTTTTTTGGCGAGTTCGATATACCCGGGTTCGACTGTACTATCATAAACGTGCAGCATAGCACAACACTTGTGTCGTCTGTTTCTCGTCCATTGTCTGCTGCGCTGCACGTTTACCCATAGATGACAGGCACTGTTCAAGGCACTTGCACAAAAACATTTACTCCTATTTCTTGGGAATTGGAGAAGAATTACCCAAAAAAGAAACGTTTACAAAGTATTTTAAAGTAGAGTACATGTGACAAATTTGATTCATGTAGCTTGATTTTACAAAGATTGGTCCTCGAGGTGCATCTTGCATTCGCAGTACGACCACTGCTTAAAGGGCCACTCACCAGGTTTGACAATTTTGTGCTGACAAGCGCAAAGCATAAATGAGGCATTCACGATCATGTGTGCCAGAATTCACAACACTACGCGCAACCAAAAAGTGTAAAATTTCAAGATGAACGCTGTCCCCCTTCCTTTTATGAGCGGGCGCCCAGAGAATGAGGGCATGACGTGCGCGTATGAATGGCCCTACGTACATGGCAATGTAGCGACATTGGCCCTCTACGTAGACTATGCTCCGACGTTGCCAACAGTGGCACGTGACATGGCAAAAATTATTTAACACGACATGAATAGCTTATGTGTTTGTTGCTTGAAGAGATGAATACGTATCTAGATAAATAATGAGACGCAACAAAAGAGAGTTGCAATGAGATGCGGGGCTAATGTGCCGGCGTTTCGCATGCGTTCGTGTCCCTGCGGTCAGCGCATCGAGCAGACGACACCTGTGGTACGCTCCTATGCGTTCGCGCACTCATTGTGCTCATCTATTCTACCGTGTCAAAACCAGCGTTTCCAAACCATCAAAAAGAAATACTCAAAACAACACTGGTGAACAAAAAGAAAAAGAAAAAGTGCTGCTCGCGTGCATGGGGGTTGGGCTTGTTCGGGCACGTCATGCGCACATGACCGAACAAGCCGGAGAGGGTAGGGAAAAGATTTGGCTTGCAAAGACTGAGTAGAGGAGCGGCAATTGTTTCGAGCTCGCCTCGTTTCACCCTCGTTTCGCGCTGATCCAAAAAAAAAAAAAAAAAAAAAAAAAACAGTTCTCTCAGCTCCTAATGAACAGATTGAAAAATTATTGTGGCAAAATGTTGCCTTATCAGAAACCCAACAACTTCCACGGTCCAACTAAAATTTGATATGGAGCCTGGTGAGTAGCCCTTTAAAACCCCTCAAAGAGCTTCTTACCGAATGTCAAACTTCGGAGTCACGATGGGTACACCAGTAGTTGTCCGGGTGTGGAGGACTGGCGTGCGCACGCTCGCTTTACGGGCCCTCTTGGTAGACTTCGGTACACCGAGCGCCTCGTCGGACGCTTTCTTCTTGGAGATTGCCGAGCGGCGCTGGCTAGCTGTCTGCACAATAGAGCAAGGGGATCGCAATAGTTAGAGCAGAGTAATTGTTTGACGAGGTTTCTCATTTGCAAAATGATGAATGAGAAGAATCGATGGCTACGAGCCAGATGAAGCCAAGTTGAGACAGAAGTTCCCTCGTCCCTAATAATTCACACCGAGCACTGGTTCTAAAAGCATCACAATTTCAGCCACATCTGTACTATGGCTGAGCAAAAGGCTTGTAAAGTATGCTTTATCAAAGAACATCTACACAACTTTACAGAGCTAGCCAAGAACAGCTTAGCTGGTAACTATGAAAAGCTCTAAAAAACATTTCTTATATAAACCACATTGGCTTACAAGGGTGGTCCCATCAAATTTCGAGGCTGAAACAAGCCTCTTGAGGGTTTCCTCTGTATGCTAGGAGACTCCTCACGAACGGTTGGACACCAGCAAACATATAGAAGATATTTCAATTTACCTCAGGAGTCAGGAGTGTACCTAAATGCTCATTCTTCCGACCGAAGCCCATTGCAAGCGCATTCAGAAGTGTCTTAACTCTGTAGGAAAGGCGACGAACGTCGTAGTGACGTCACACCGGATCTGTAGAGAGCGTATGCACGCACAGGTTTCCCCTTCATGACAAACAAAGATTCATCGCAGCGCACCCCCTCATTATGTCAATGTGTGCGACTGTTTGCCCCCCCCCCCCCCCCCCATCGTAGATGATTAGGGGAGTGGCCACCCCCTTCTCCCCCTCCCGTGCGCACACGTATAGTAGTGAGGCGAGCCACCTTCAGAGACCTCCGCAGCATACGAGCTGGGCCCGCAAAGCGTCTGTGGCTGCTACACGTTTGTTTTGCAGGTGCTTGTGCGGCAGGTGTGTGTGAGAAAGCCAGTGAGAGCCGACGATAATCAGCATGAGGTGCGTCACAGCCTTGCAGGGACACGTGACCAAGCTACACTTGCACGTCACAGCCCGATTCGGTGCCCAGAATACTAAACCGAAATTTGTCAACATAGAAAAGGCAATATCAATTTATTTAGCGAGAATAAATGAATCTTGGAGTGTCTATCATGCTTCCTGGAGCTAGAAGAAATGCTTGCAGCATAGAATGCGCAAGCAACGAAAATGGCGACACCGCCCCTTAGTGATATTTACCGAATTGGGTACATACACTAGGCCTCCAAACCTCTTCTCAATCGATAAAAATGAAGTTGCTTGTGGAGTATGTAAGCCCCTGCAGACATCGGCCAAAAGTGCAATAATAGCACGGCTGATGTGCGGGCATTAAAATGATGTGGTCACCTGCGTTCCTACAATACTGAACGTTTTCTGGAATACCACGCGTCCTCTTGGGGCAAAAGCGGTGCCTTTGGTATTGTGAAACGGCAAGCTGCCCGTAAGCTAGAAACCCTTTAATGATACAGACCTCTGAATCGCCATGCTTTCTTTCATTTTCAACATTAGTCAGCGTACAAATACTGCAGTGATCCCACTGGGGACTGCCAATCTGGAGCAAGTTTTTAGAGCAGTCAAATTTTAGTTTTGGAGCATTTTGTAGCAGTAAAATATTAGTTTTGAAGCACTTTGAAGCAGTAAAGTTTTAGTTTTGGAGCATTTTGAAACTAGTAATCTTGCTATTAGAAGCGTTTTACAGCAGTAAAATTTTAGTTTTGGAGCAGTTTTGGAGCACTTTGGCATAGGTATATATTCATAATAAAGCATTTCGGAGAAGAAAGTACCTCAAACTCTTTAATATTACATAGACGCTGACCTAGAACAAAGAATATTTTTAGATTGAAAAAGGCTTTGAGAAGTTTCAGGTCGCTCTTTTCACCATATCAGGTTTATTAATTGGGGAGAAAATATTGGTAATACATTAATTTATAAATTATTTCTGAATTACGCGCCGAAATCTCTGCACGCGATACCACGAATTTCAATGTGTATTTTTTTACTTTAGCGACATTCGCTCAAAGTAATTTTTAGAGACTTAGTACAGTAAGTCTAGAGCCACCTCAGAAGTCAGTTTACTTTATTTTTAGTACTTAAGAGCTATGTAGGACTAAGTGAAAAAACGCCAAAATTTATAAAGTCCTGGCAAATGACACATTAATGCAACTATGTGAAGCCACCCGAATTTTTCTTGTGGTTTTTTTTTTTGCTTACCAAGAGAGTTCTCGTGGCAAGCATGACGATTTTGGAATTACGAAAGCATAATTCAATAATGTTAATTTCATTAATTTGGACACACTTAATTCGAACTTCCGGTTAATCAGAACTGACGCTGTGTGGTGCCTATGTGTATTCCAACGGGCAAAAACGCTCTGTAATTCGAACGTGCAAGCACTTGCGACGGTTATTTCGAACATACAGCGCTCCGAAAATGCTCTCAGCACCATGCCCGATTACGCAGCGGCACCTACAACACCTAAACGCTGCGTGCGAAGAAGGAAAAGAAGAAAAGGAAAGGCTTGGGCGTAATGTTTGCTCTTTCTCAAATGCATACCTGCCAACATATAAATTCGTTAAACCAGACAGGCCTGAATTTTATTGCGATAACAATGATATGGACACTCCCCCTTGATTTTATATATATATATATATATATATATATATATATATATATATATATATATATATATATATATATATATATATATATATATATATATATATATATATATATATATATAAAGTGCAAGAAAGGAAAAAAAGACTGGCGCGGAATCGAACGCGGGACCTCCTGGTCGTGAATGCGAGGTGTTAACCGTTGAGCCAGCGACAGGTACCTCCAACGTTCAAATGGCAAGCTATTCATATCTACCATTTACCGCTGTTGGCGGGCATATCGGGGGGGGGGGGGGGGAACTATGGTGTTTTTAGCATTATCAGCAAGGGCAGCGAGCGCGCGGTGGCTCTCATCTCTCACGCGTACAGAGGATAACGGGGGGGGGGGGGGGGGGATGGGGTACGCTCGATCGTACGCCATTATTTTGCAGTGGGGAGAATAGTAAGTCTTGGCTAGCCTTGGAGTTTCAGCGGAACGACGCTGTTGTAGTTACCGGGCGCACAAAGGTCACTGCAATTGTTGCACAGCCTCTGTTGGTGGAAAGGACGCGCTTTTCAGACAGCGAAGCAACAACCGAGGCGCTTATTCGCATTAATTTGTACGTGCAAGTACGTTTCATGCACCCTTTGTACGTGGGAAACGCAGGGCACAGTTCGATCTGCGTGCTATTCTGCGCTTGACCTTCCAATTTGTTGCTATCGCATTCATTGCTTCGCCCTTGTGGCAAAGCTGAGACTTTTTTGTCCATGCAGCCAGATCTCGCACACACATTTAGATTTTCGGGATATTATTATGGCAACCCTACACATGGAAGAAACGGTCGCAATCCGGGCGATTTTGCAAGTATGTGATGATAACACCAATACATAAAGTTCTCTCTTGGTTGCAGAATATAGCACGTCGTTTTTGTGGCCTCTGTGACCAGCTACGGCTATGCGCCATAGCCAAATGCGGAGGCCAGGCCATTTTACAAACATTTTTTTTTATCTGAAATAGAATATTTATCGTGAATTTCAGGCAAGGTTAGTAAAATCGTACGCGCCATAGAAATTCGTACAATTTATGGGAGTGAATAGTTGGCAGGTATGCAAATGCCAATCTGGGATGCGCCTGTGCCACGCTTTTCCCTTTTCGGTCGCTGCCACGTAAAGACCCTTTTTCTTTCAACGCCGCTCGCAAAGATAGCAAAAAAAAAAGCTCGTTTGGCGCACTTTGGTGTAGAAGTGGGATCCCCGCTACTGCCATGGATGATTCCATGTTGTAACAGACAGCCGATACCCCAAGAAGGACGTCTACATTCACAACTCCACTTTTCAACATTCTCTCTATGCCATGTGGTGTTTCGCAACAAGTATGAAGCAACATATTAGCTTCATCTGTTGAGTGAAAAATTAACCAGCATTGGCCAATTCACACTTGTATTCCATACTTTGTTTGCGAGTACGAGAGAGATGAGCTTAGCTTTCCATAATGAAAGAGTTATGATGCACTTACCTTCTTGGCCTTTGCACTCGCCAGAATCGCTCTCTGCCTGCAATGAAATGAAGGGAAAAATTATTGTGAAAAGGACTGAACCATTCAGAAGTTCAGGTTATGCAAACAGTGACATGGTATTATTACAAATATCTAATGCGCAGGCACTGCAATAAGAACTTTAAAACCAGGTAATTGAAAAAACCCTAACCAAACCAATGTAGTATTTCGAAACTGTGGGTACGAGAACGGCACCCTCCATCACTTGCACCATAGTACCGACATCAATGAAGACCTCTTGATTTCTCTTCAGCTCCTCGATTGTGTTACCAAAATTTTTTTTATATTGCTAGCAAAAGCACCTTTGATACCCTTTGGGAAAACTCAGCCGTGCCCACATCGCAGACCTGAAGCCTTTTGTCACAGTCTGACGAGCTCGCGTCAGCGCCCTGCGGCACGGCGCGCAAGCAACGGGGCACACCCGGGGCGGCGGACCGCATTCGCACCCCGCACCTGTATAATGTGAGGAAGCGGTCACCTTTGCGATTTCGCGCTGGACGGCGGACTTCTCCGCAACCGAAGGCCTTCAGTTTACAGTCTAGCCTCAGTATAGGTTAGCTTCTTTACGGCCTTTTCTCGTAAAGAAGTCGACCCCGCCCAGTTTGCTGCCAGTGTTTTTTTTTTTAAGTGTTCATGCGTATTTTATGTTTCTTTTGCCTAATATTAAGTGTTATTTGTAATTTATATTGTTATTTTTTGGCTAGAGATTGAATAACTTTGCTGTTTTTGCTTTTTCTTCCCAGTGTTTATTTCGACTACTGTGAAGGGAGCCGCGACCTTTTGTCGGTGCTTATGCCAGGAGAGAGACAAAGGACACTTTGCACCTACGCTCGCGCAGCCGTCGGCGGTGTGTATGCGTGCGTGCTTCTGTGCGTGTGTAAGCGCGTGAGGCTTCAGTGCGTGCCCGTGAAGAGTGCCTCATGGCTTCCCCCCATCGACGCGGACACTGGAGGTCCTGGGGGGGGGGAATTGACCCACTGGCGTCAGACATTCTGGCTGTGCTCCAATCTGGGCCGTCGACGAAGAAGCCCTGCTCCCTTTCCCACCATGGCTCCTGCACGAGGCCAGCTGAAAGCAGCTATATGCTGCCGGCCAACGCCAGGGTGCCTAGCAGCCAATTCTGGTTCGGCCTCCTTGACCATTGGAGAGGCCCGGCTTCCCGCAACGTCCCAGCTCTGTCATCGAGCCAGAAATGTGGGGCCTCCGAACCACAACCGAAGCGGCGTCCGTCGGACTCGCGGCTAATCAAGAGCAGCAACGAGCCTCCAGAGAGCCGCCTTCCGTGCCTCTGGTTTCGCACTCGGGCATCGCACCTAGCGAACATTGTCACGCTCTTCCGTCCCTCCGCGCGGTGGACGCTATCCCGCTTCGGCACCACGAACACTACTACTACTTTCCTGTGCTCCCTTCCGCAATTATTTTTATAGTGTCATGTGTTTATTTTGTTATTGTTTTTTTCCTCCTTTGTCACTATTTTTTTCTTGCAGCAGTTACAGGGGTAAACTGCGGTTAGCCGTCGCTCATAGCAGTGTCATTAACTGCATGGGTGACGTCCAGCTGCCTTTGGCAGAACGGTAAAGGGCAAATTTAGGAGAGGAGGATGTGGGAATTGAGGCCGGCCTGCTGCCTTTGCGTGGACTTTGCCACTTCTTTCTCCGTTCTCATGTCCTGGCATGTCTCCCCTCCTCCGCTGTCTGCCGCGCTGGGAGAGCAGAGCGAAGTTTAACCCCTCACCCGGTAGCGGATGAGGACTGTGGCGCCGCGCACGGAGTCTCTCGAGAGGTATTCGCGCGCTGTGTCGGGAGCGGGCAGACAGATACTCTCCGGGACTGCAGATGGTGAGCCACGCAATCTTTTCCGTCCGTCGACTCGCGTCGCTCGGGGGGCTCGTCGGACTTCGCTGACGGCGCCTCGCGCCCGAGGCGAACGCTCACCTTTTGTTGCCCCACTACGTACGCACAGCCGAAGGGTGGTACGGTGTCCTAGTGCGTGGCCTAGCTATGCCGACCTGTCTCCCTCCAAAGCCAACGCGAGCGCCTTTGCCCTCGCTCGAGCAGCCGGGCCTTGGTCCCGGTGTCTCAGTGGATCACCTTTACTGCGGAGACGTGCCCGCGACACGCTGTGTAGTACTTTTGTGCTCGTGACGTGGATAAGCCTATTTGCTTTCCCGTCGCGCCTTTGCAATGGGCTGTACTGCGTTCGGTGGCCACAGACAATAAACTGTTGAGACTTGTTCTCGCCACGACGACGGTTAACGCGTGCGCTGCAGCTCGCTAAGACCGGACCTACGCTTGTGGCCGTACTCCTTCGGGATACGTGTACACTACAATCTTGGCATACGAACTCGATGCAGGAGCGGAAAAATTTTGCTAAAATAACTCAAATGAGCGATTAACAAAAAACCTTTAGGTTCACTTGCGAGTACTTGTTTATACTGAAAACTAGTAGGATGTGACAATTTACGGCATACCCATTTCTTAAAGATCTTGTAAGGGCACATAGTTCGAGATATTAATCATCACAACTGAGGCCTCCAATCTAGATGACACCAAAACCGAGTGCATCTGGCTGACAAAAATGCACCATCTGGGTTGCATCAGACCGGAAAGCCCGACAACGGTAAGCAAATCTCACCCTTAAGGAGCCCATAAATTCATTCCACTCTTAGGCAAAGATCATTTGAATGATTTAGCCTTCAACTGCACTACATAATAGATGTGTCTACAATGTAGTCATATCTTTTACAATTAATATCATGTAATGTTGCCGAGTATAATGCGATTTAAAAGTTATTACTGTATGTCAACAGTATTGTTGCAGAACAGACAAAAAATTCTATTTCATTGCAGTGCACGCACATGAAATTCGAGTACGTGACAGTGGAAACAATCGAGGGGGGAGGGGCACACTGTTTCGGAGCAGCATCACATTGCAACCGTGCGAGCCAAAAAAGTAGTAGAAAAGGAGGGAGTCGAGGGAGGAGTCTGCTTCGTCGTGGACCTAGTGGCAGCTGCCACGTCATTTTGGTCGAAGTACCCAGCACAGTCACCACAAAAACGTACAGTTGCGGTTGAATGACTTTCATTTAAAGGGCCAGGTTAGCCTACAGGCAACGATGGCGTCGGCAGGCTGCCCTGCCGACGCTATCGAGACGAGCAAGATGTACGACGCCATCGAGACGAGCACGTGTCGAAGCCATCGAGACGACGCCATCGGGCAATGTACGACGCCATCGAGACGAGCAAGATGTACGACGCCATCCGAGACGAGCAAGATGTACGACGCCATCGAGACGAGCAAGATGTACGACGCCATCGAGACGAGCAAGATGTACGACGCCATCGAGACGAGCAAGATGTACGACGCCATCGAGACGAGCAAGATGTACGACGCCATCGAGACGAGCAAGATGTACGACGCCATCGAGACGAGCAAGATGTACGACGCCATCGAGACGAGCAAGATGTACGACGCCATCGAGACGAGCAAGATGTACGACGCCATCGAGACGAGCAAGATGTACGACGCCATCGAGACGAGCAAGATGTACGACGCCATCGAGACGAGCAAGATGTACGACGCCATCGAGACGAGCAAGATGTACGACGCCATCGAGACGAGCAAGATGTACGACGCCATCGAGACGAGCAAGATGTACGACGCCATCAAGACGAGCAAGATGTACTTCTTGCTCGTCTCGTAACCGTTGCATTAAGAAAGCAGGTGATTTAGAAAGCAGACAATAAGAAAGCAGGTGATCAATGGCAAATGATTATGCATAACGAAGACAACACTGAAAGGAGATTCTGAGTGGAGTTTTCATCACTAGGCACCCATACCTCTTCCGCGATGGACACTAAATACCCGAGAAAACACAGTAAAAAAAATGTGTATCGAGGAGACATCGAGTCAAATAGTTTGCTGCATTTTCCGGTAGCGTATCTGTTGTAACACATAAAACTTGCATGTATATTGTTACACAAGGCCCCTGATCCCCCTGAGTCCGCGATCACAGTCTAATGATGATGATCACCGCCATGGCTCGTACCCACTCAGGGGGATCGCAGTGGAGGCAACGTCGTCTTCTTTCTATGCCCACGCTTCCCTTGTTTTTCTGGTAGTGATACTTTGTATCATTCCTCCTCTCTCAGACGAAGCCCTCTGGGCGAGTCATTCTTGCATCCTTCGCGTAAACGGCTTCAGGCGGGCAACATGCGTCACCTCCGTCTTGCATGAACGTCGGCCACTAGTGGTGACACGTGCAATTTCATAGTTGACCTCGCTGACACGACGGAGTATCACAAAAGGACCGGCATAGTGTGCCAGTAGCTTTTGGCTCAAGCCACGTCTGCGTATTGGGGTCCACACCCACACTAGATCACCGGGGGCATAGGTTACATGCCTGTGTTGACTGTCGTAGCGAGTTTTGGATGACTCTTGCGCTGCCAGTGTACGTAAGCAGGCAAGTCGACGGGTCTCTTCCGCACGACACAAGGTTTCAGCAATTGTTAAATCGTCATGGATGACAAAAGGAAAGATAGTGTCCAGCGTATGTCGAGGTGAGCGAGCGTAGAGCAGATAGAAAGGGCTATAGCCTGTCGTTTCGTGTTTCGACGTGTTGAAGGCGTACGTGACCAACAGTAATACTTCATCCCAGTTTTTGTGGTCAGAGGCGACGTACATTGACAACATGTTGATCAACGTTCGGTTTGTGCGCTCGGTGAGACCGTTAGTTTGCGGATGATACGCAGTTGAGTGTCGGAACTTGGAGGCATACAAACGAAGTAATGATTCGACAATATCAGCGGTAAATTGTCGACCACGGTCACTTATTATCACGCGAGGAGGTCCGTGTCGGAGGATGACTGAGTTCAACAGGAACTCCGAAACCTGGACTGCCGTGGCGGAGCATAAGGCAGCCGTCTCGCAGTACCGCGTCAGGTAGTCGGCGCATACAATTATCCACCGGTTACCTTTTGAGGAGCGTGGAAATGGTCC